GGCTGCGTAAGGGCTGCGAGTGCCTGTCTTCTAGACCCCGTATTAAACACACCTGAGGTATGTCAAGTGACGTGTCTTCCTTGCTGTAGACCCCGTATTAAACACACCCTGAGTGGTGCGTCAAGTGACGTGTCTGTTCCGGCTCTGGACCCCGTATTAAACACACCCTGAGTGGCGTGTCAAGTGACGTGTCTGCTGTGGACCCCGTGTCAATGTGCCCTACGGTGGCGTGTCGAGTGACGTGTCGTGCTTCTGTCTTCGTACCAGTAGTTGTCGTAAAGTTCCGGTGAACCCCAACTAGTCTGGCAGCTTCAGTGTTCTCGTGTGCGTGTCTTCTTCGTCTGAGGTCAGTAGCTGTCGTAAAACTCCCGGCTGGAGCCCAACTATCCTGACGAGTCCTGTCCTGTGTGTGTGCGTCTCCTGTGTTCTCGTGGCACCAGTAGTTGTTGCAAGGTTTTGGTAAACCTCAACTAATCTGATGGCTTCTGGCTGTCCGTGGGTGCGAGTGCGAGGGTCAGCAGTTGTCGGAAGGTTCCAGCGAACCCCAACTGATCTGACTGAGTGGCGTGGGTGCTAGTAGTTGACTGAAGGTTCCAGATGAACCCCAACTAATCTAGCCTGGCGGCTGGGTGTGATGGTGGGTTGTGGTGGTGAGGGGAGTGGTGAAGAGAGTGGTGAAGTGGTGGTGGGGATACTAAAGTGTGGGTGGGTCACTTTAGGAAGATTCCGAGAATGAATGCTTGCTTCGGATCCCCTTCCTCAGCCCAGTATTTATACCTGGAGCCAAGGGGCGCGGGAATCCTAAATTGTACCTTACAAAGCAGGTCTGTAGTACGACTAATCCATGTCCAGAATATTCTCCCTTATTCTCCTACTTTCCCTTCATTCCTAGTCCTTTCCTTCTCCTTTATCCATCCTGAGCCTGAGCCTGTCAGGGATTTCCAGAACATTCTAAGAACCTTCCCCACATATTCTTGATGTTTCCCGGGAGTTCTGAATGGTTTCCAGGGGATTCTTGAAGGGGAACACTGAGTATTCCAGTGGTTTCCACAATATTCCGCAATGTTCCACAACATTCCATGGGTTTCCGGCATGTTCTCCTCCTGTCTCCTTGGAATATCCTGGTGTTCCCTGGCTCTCTGATGCTAGGCTGTCATGTGCACATTGTCTGGAACCTTCTAGAACCTTCTGGCAATTTCTGCACCTTTGTCAGCTGAAGTAGTCTAGCATGTTCTCCATGACTGCAGATGATCCTGTGTTGATGGCTGGGTTCCTCCTGTTCCTGAAGTTTCCGGCACCTTCCGGAACTGTCTCCTGACCTCTGGGCTAGTCCTAAGCATTCTGGTGTCTGCTAGGTTGGTCTCTGGTCCTAGGTCTGTCTGGTGAGGGTGCTCCTATTGCTGGCATACCCTGGACTGTTCCGGTAGGCCCATGTGCCAAACCAGTTTGGTGCATGACAGCGGGTGTTGCTCAATCTGCACATACCAGCGACGATATATGAATGATTCTTCTTTACAAACAAAACGAACGCATACCTACCGCATCTATGATCTGCGGTTCGTATATGCATAAGATTTAAGTTTCGAGGCCATGAGGGCGGTCCCAGAGCGTAGAAGTCGGTGACCCAGCACATCGCGGTTGGTGCTCGTCTGACGCTGTTTTAAGGCACAGGCGTTGGCTCAACTATCCAAGAGACGCACCGGGGAGGCGATTCACTCACCCTGAGGCTGACGTAGATACTATGTGCGCGGATATGTCGCTTTCTGTGGGCAAGCGGTGTTAGGAATACTCATACTCGTCGTAGTGGCCATCCAGACGGCCTACTGCACCCACATGTATGACGGCTTATCCAGGGATTGTTGACTGTTAGACGACGTACCAGATGGCGATGTCCGCTACATTGTCGTATCTGACATCTTGTGATACTCCTCGAAGAGAGTGCAGGTCTCAATTGCCGTGCCAGGAGAGGCCGAGGAGGGTGAGACGGCGGGATACGTGGCTGTAGAGAGAGGCACTCGAAGAACGGGCGATGGACATGTCGAGCCAGAGGGAAGGAGAGCTCCAAGAGAAGGTGGGCTGGGTACAGCAGTAAGAGGTTAACTACAGTATTTTAGCGCCAGATGGAAAACTACGGCCAGGTGAAATGCCGCCCCGGGCTCTCTTCTGACAAACACGTGTCTGCGCGCTCACGCACACATCTACATATCGCATGCAGGCCTCTAGGATGACAACCTATACCTAATGTACATACACTCAGAAAACCCTCCAAGTGCCTTTAAGTAGCTTTCCCGGGAATGTTTACTATGTAACTTTTGTTCCAAAGGGTCCAAAAGGTGCGCGCACATATAGCTGCGCTTACATGGATCATATAGAGGGCATGAGAACAATAAATGCGCCCAAAATACTGCGTGGACTGGATCGCGAGGAAAGCAGTCGGGCGCGAGAGCGAGACAGTCACGTGATATCAGACGCGATTTCGCGCGCGCGCGCATCGCGTCGCTTTCGACTGCTTCTCTATGGGCCGCCACACTCTCACCTTGGTGCAGCGGAAGCGCAAAGCTTCCGAAGCACACAAGTCACGCATACAATCTGCTTTGAAGTCGTACTATGCTGAACATCCTCCCAATTCTCACTCGGACTCGCATGCCTTGAGCCACCTCCGGAGCTCTACCTCAATCGCGCAAGAACACGGTGTCAGTGCCACCACACTATGGTGACGCGAGCACGGCGGACGCTCCGTTCATGATGCACACGTTTCGGCACAGCTCCTGACAGCTGCGGAGGAAAGTCTTCTGGTGCAGCTCTGCAAGACCCTCGCCCTGCGTTTCCTCCCGCTTTCGCACAAGCTCCTTCAAGATAAGGCAAATGCTCTCTTAGCAGTACATGCTGGAGATTCTGCTCGGCAGGTTGGCAAGGGGTGGTCAGATCGATTCATAGTACGGCACAGCGGTGAGATTGCCATGTACTGGAGCTCCAGTTTGAAAAATACACGCGGGCTTGCGCTGAACCCGACCAATGTCCGTGAATATTTTGAGGTACTTGCGGATATTGACCGTGAGCATCATATCAAGCCAGAGTTTAAGTATGCCATGGACGAAAGTCCCATCTTACTCGGCACCGAGCTGACCACCTGTGTCATTGGACCTGCCGGCCAGAAGCTGCAGCACAAACTGCAAGATGGCGGCAGGGAGAGTGTCTCCTTTGTCGTCACAATATGCGCCGATGGATCTGTGCCTTTCCCTCCGACGGTCATTTTCTCGGGCCAGAATTATCTGAAGCGATGGTCATCTCACAATCGCCTGGATGCAGCGTAAGAACTTTGTGCAAGGTCTACATGGGTTTATTGACAGGTTATGCATAGCATCGCTCTCTCGCCCACTGGATACACTAACGACAACCTGTCGCTGGAATGGATGCATAGATTTGAGGCGTTGACATGTCCTACGGGGAACCAGGCCTCGGAATGGCGGGAGCTTGCGATTGAAAACCACGGCAGTCACCTCACCTTACCATTCCTCGACTATGCAACATCACACCGTATCGAGGTCGTTGGCTACATCCCAAACTCGACTCACGTTCTGCAAGGGCTGGATGTTGCATGTTTTGGTGCCTTCAAGACATACTATTCACGGACGATTGCCTCCTATCAACGGTGCACCGGGTGCAGCATCACTAAAGACACGTTTCTCGAGCTCATCAAGGAACCTTTTGAACGAGCATTCACCCAATCCACAATCCTTGCTGCATTCCGCACGACAGGCCTTGAACCAATCAATCCCGCTGCGATCAAGCCCACACAACTTGCGCCTAGCGAGGAGCATTCTGCGCCAACAGCATTCCCACTTGAGCTACCTGCCCCAGTCAGTGCAATGCTTCCACTTCTGCATGCGGTCCAGTCTGGTGCAATGGCAGGGGCGCAAGATATTCAGGTACATTTTCTGCTCCTGTCACAAACATTTAAGCCAATTTTTCCTGCAGTCTGCTGCTCTCGAGACTGCAAAGTGTCTCCGCAATTCCTCCGCGGCCTTCGTCATCGGGCCATCCGAGCAGGTTGATTCCATGTCAACGCTTTCCCCACCAACCATCCTACATGCACCACCTCCCCCGTCCTCGACCCAACGTCTACTCCGCTCTGACCCCGCGGCTCTGGCAGATGTAGATGCGCTTGAGCTCGAGCTCGCGCAATGCCATGCCGCATTGCAGGAGTCAGAGCAGCGCAATCGGGCTTCTCAAGAGATCATCGACGCCCAGAACTGTACCATTGCTCTCCAAGCCGCCGGGTTCCAGGCCCAGCAACAGAAGCTAGCCGCCAAGGAGACCAAGAAGCAGTCTCGCCGGGACAAATTGCTTGCTACGAAGGTCGGGTGTCACCTATCCGGCGAGGAGTTTCGAGCGGCCGTGAGAGCGGATGACGAGGAACGCGCAGAGGCAGCAAAGAAGCGCTCGAAGGCCCGGGACACGCGGACGACTCTCGCGCAGCTGCGCAAAGCTAGGCGTACATGGCGGGAGAGGGAGCGAGAGAAGCGCAAGGCGAAGCATGAGGCGGCATTAGAGGGGTGGCGCAAGGCGTGCGCGGAGTGCCGCGAGACCAAGACGAAGAAGCCGAAGAGGCCCCTGATGCCGAAGAAGGCTTCGACATCCCCGCGCTATAGGTCGCCGGCAGTAGACGAGGAGGAGAAGGAGAATGAGGGTGAAGGATCGGACGAACTCGATGATGGTGCCGTGACAGACAATGATTGATGGATTTCTGGCTCTGCCTAGATACAACCCCCCCTCAGTTTGTTTGGGACAGTACATTTTGTATCTTTACTGTATATATTAGCTGCTCTCGTAGTGTCGCTGCGCGTACAAAGGTGTTGAATGTCGATTTTCTGTGGCGATCTCGGCGCCTCGTCACGGCGCCTGTCACATTCCATATGGCCGTGAACCCGCAAACCGGGTCGCCCTTTGCGAACTCTTCTACTACTCCCAGTCTACCTCGGTTCCCCCAAACAAGCATGCACCCCCGAAACCCTACCGGTCTCTCTACCCGAACACCACAAAATCTCAACATCGCGCGCCCAATTTTTTCCGGAACGCGGCGTGCGAAAAAGTTGTTTCATCTGGTAGAGAAATACTGTAGTAGTCAGCCTGAGCGAGCACGTCCTGCGGAGGGCATGAAAGGCGAGCATGCAGAGTGTCTGCGGAGCGGCGCAGACGTAGGACGGACAACTCCGACTCGAGCGGACCCGAGGCCCGCGTGGCTTTGTTTGGTCCATAAACAACGCGTGCGCGCCTAATGCGCTCGAGTCGCGAACGCACACGCGTCGACCACCCTTATAATGCGCCTCTCTCAGTACTCAGCACTCACCCCTACAAAGACCGAGTTATATAGCCGCTGCCAGTGGCGGGCCATTCTCACAGGACCTTCCCTGCCCTTACACGCGAACCTTATAGACCCGGGAGTGCCCGGATGCTATACATATAATCCTCCTCACTTATCGTTTAGGTCCGCCATCCTGGCTCCTCTGTCTCGCTCTCCCCTCATCTTCGGCCTCAAATGCCTATTATTGATCCCATGACTACAGTGCTGCAGATAACGGAGCTCGCAGCTGCTGCCACTCTCATACCGGGCCTAAACCTTGTCCTCTTGGCAATGATGAGTGCACTTCCGAGGACAAGGTAAGCACATTCGGTCGGTGATTCAAACTTCTCTTGTAGTAACAAACAAATTTTTATAGAGTATCACAGATACTCATGATGACTGTGGGGTTCTGTCTGAGCGCGCCGCACGCTTTGCTCGGCGATATATGAGCAACTCGAGGACGATGGCGGCAACACAGCAACGAACAAACTCAAAGACTCATATTGACGATTCATGGTGTGTCCCCGACGATATATTTGATATACTGTGTGCACAGGTCCACTGATCTTGTCCCTGGGGGCCGTTAGATACAGGCAGTTCTCCACAACGACCACAAGAAGAAAGAGCTGCCCATACCCGCCTCTCGGACGTAGCGCAGCGCACATGCGGCTCTACGTATGACGGGAACGTGCGAGCGTACTTTCTCACGCCGGTCCCTTATTCGCTGATAATCGGCCTGCTACTGTAGGTTCGGCTCTTCGCCCGCGAAAACGTCGACCTACTGGAACACATCTTCGACCAGTCTTCTCGTGTGTTAACGCAACACCGAACAGATGGGGGTTTCGGTGTCCGGGTGTGTGCTACGTCGAAGCCGCGGACTGGACATGTCGTCCGCTACCGTGCGGTCGTGAAGGCAGCTGGTAGATTGTCCGGAACACAGGTCATAGTGCCAGTTTGAGTGCATCCAGGGGGCATGTGTCGCTCCCCTGTCCACTAGGACGCAGGTTCTCGGAGACCTCACCATCTCCATCCAGATAAAGTGCGCTCCCGTATCGGTATGAAGCCTGTCTCTCGGATTTGTACTAATTGATCCCGCCTGCGTATTGTAGGATGAACACGCTCATCACAGAGCTTACCGAGGACGAGCTGTTGGTGCTCAGCGAAGCTCAGGATGACTGCCGCTTCAACAGAGACCCGGCACTTTTCCCCGGCGCCGCAACGCACGGCATCAGCCATGAGGACAACAACGGTGACTCTGACAGCTGCCCGTTCAAGTCAAGCGGCAGCGAAGACCGCCACGCTCGTGGAGTACACTCGGAGTCTCCAATTTCGAACTCTCAGGAAGCAACAGATTTGGTGTACGTCAGCACGGAAGAGTATGGTGCCGAGGAGGACGAGGCCGCGGGTGGAGTGTTTGTTTTGGTGTCGCAAAGGCGCGTATTGCGTCCGCCGTTGTTGCTGCTTCCGTACGCATCCTGAGCTAACATCTGCCTACATCCTACAGTCGGTGAAACGGTGTACTTCAGGGCTGCTTCCGTTACGGACTCCCTCCTCGTACGTTCGATTCTCGACTTGCCGCGTGCACTCGCTTCATGCTCGCAATGTAATCACGCACACACAGCACCTTCGTCCTCACCGGTCATCGGCGGTAGTATGTTCCGAACCTTCTGCGCACAGTATGTATATGTTATCTTCACAGTATGCCCTTGGCAAGAGGACGTTATTTAACCAACAACGCTAATGCTAGCGGCTCGGACGGCTCCGGCACAGACGACTTCACAGCGAATAACAAGTACTGCATGCTATGATACCCGCTCTTTCGAATCAGCGACGACGCCCGATCAGCACGCTCCGAGCGGGACTACTTGAGGATGCCACACGTCGGTCACGATGGGACGAAAGATGCAGAAGATGACTAGGCCACGAATCGACGCGGAACGGTTATTAAAAGACGGACGCTGATGGCTGTTATGTATGTAATTTTTGCGGTATAAAGGTAGAAGTACGTTGCGTGTATAGCAGGATCATCTAAAACGAAGCCATGTAACATAGGCAGAGAGCGAAAAGATGGGGTATGAGCAAGCGAAAGGAGATAGCTCGCCTTCCTTAGTCCGACCGTCGCCCGAATCCCTGCACGATGTCTACGAGCGGCCGGCGAAGCTCCTTGGTATCAAACACCTTCGAATGGTCCAGCTCCGGGTGGTAGAGCACCTCCAGTCCGTCCTTGCGCCACGCGAACTCGATCTCCGCGTCCTCCTCGCCCGTCAGGTACCGCCGCACCTCCGCCGCGTCCACGATCTGGTCCTTCCCGCTCAGCACGACCGCGACGTCCTTCCCCACAAGGTCCTCCTTCCACAGCACGTTCTCCGCCCAGAAGAAGTGCCGCGCGAGCGCGCGCGCGACGTCCGGGTCGCGGCTCGCAAAGTACCACAGCTGCCACTCGTTCGCGCGGCGCGGCGCGCGGTAGACGAAGTTGTACGCGACCGCGGGCAGGTGCAGCAGGAACGGGATCGGGTCGATGAGCAGCCACGCGGAGACGCGTGCGCACAGCGCGGGGTCGCGCATGATGTGTGCGGCGACGACCGTCCCGTACGAGTGCGCGGCGACGACGACGCGCTCGAAGCCGTGGGCGTCGAGCAGCTCGGTGAGCGCCTCGAGCATGGCCGCGCCTCGCGCGCGAGCGGCGACGACGAGATGTGCATGCTGATAGACAGGTTCTCGATGGCGATGATGCCGACGTCCGGGTCCGCGTTGACGAGGTCGGCGAAGAACAGGACGTATGGCCAGAGACCGATCTGTAGCCGTGGTTAGTCGCGGCTTCACGAGCCAGGTACGAGGCGCAGCTCACCCCAATTCCATGCAGGAACAGAATAGGATCCTTCGTCGTGGACCGATGTGGTCGCAGCCAATAGACGAGATCCGGGTGAGGTGCCTTGTTGGAGAACACGGTGAATGCGCGAGGAGGGAAGCAGGACATGCAGTGACCGGAGGTGTAGTGACGGAAGCCAGCGCGCCTCATCTGCATGGCGGTTATTGTATCTGATGTCGCGACAATCTACATGTCGTATACGTGAGTCGGTGATGCTCTTGCGACGGGAGCATTGCGGGTGCTCACAAAGTACCACACGAGAGGTCTGTGGACGGGGTCGACGGGGTCGAGCGAGGCCTTCATGCAGCGCACAGTCTGGTCCCAGCCCTCTTCGATCTTGCGCCCGAGCAGGCTCTCCATCTTCTGCAGATAGCCTTGGATTTCTTCCGCCCATTCGTCTTGGAGGCCCTCGCGGTGAGTGCCGAACAGGGCCCAGAGCAGCCATTCGATCATGTTGTCGCGCTTGATACGATCGGGTACGGAGGAGAAGAACCAGCCGGAGGCCATTTCGCTATGGCTGACGCGGGCGAAGCATTTCGCGAACAGCGCCTCTCGTTCTTCTCGCGGTGGTAGTGGTGGATAGCTTGCGGCCTGTGTGTATGCATGTCAGTGAAGCCCGAGAGTAGTAGGGAGAACGGTAATGTCTGTATGTCCGAAGGAATTGTGAGACTTACTCGCCTTCTGCAACAGTCTGGACCTAGGTAAAAAAAACGAGAAGGTAGAAGGCGCTTTCGGCGGCTGCGTAGAGGCCTAGCCATGGCGAAAAGAGTAGATGGCCTCGGTACGCGCTGTAGGAGAGGTAAGCGATGCTGAGCGGTGCAACAAGTCGGAGGCCGAGGATGGAGAGGCGGATGAAGACGTATTCGGGCAGCGAGTCGCCAATCATCTTGCGGGGGTCTTGAGCGATGCTGGCCGCGGCTGGGAGAGCTTTATTGGAGGAGAGATGTGGCTGATATTATCATCGTGGCCTCGCGAGCCGTTCCTGACCGACCTCAGCTCGCGCAGAACGTCCGGGTCAATGAGCGAGTGGCTCGACGTCCACGGCTCCCGGGCAGTGCATGGGAGCCGAAGAAGAAACGCGATCGGTCTAAGCGCCCGTGGCGGACGTGGGCACGCGTCGCTCCTTCCCTCGCTCACTCGCTCACCCTCTTGGCCTCGAGCGCTCGCCACTCTGCGAACGCTGCTCGACTGCGACCGCTGCCTCACAAGGCGCTCACGTGTTCGCGTTTCGCTTGTCCATGCTTACCGTTGACTCTTTGCTGCCAAGCGAACCGCATCGGAGCCCCCTTCAGAAATGGCCAAAATTTGAGCTTCAGAGCTTGAAAGCATCGTATCCGAGTCTTGGACTCCTGGAGATGTGTGCCTCAAACACCCCTCGCACGCGTTACCATCACATCTTCGCGCGGATCCTTTGAGAGCGCATCAACATAGCGGACCGTCCCACGAGATGTTGCTCGGAGGCACTCCCAGGCTTCTATGTACACGGGATCACGTACGGAGCCCCATGCGCACTGCTCCTGAGAGCCCGCCCACTCCACTTTGCGGCTTGATTCTCTCCCCGTGCTACTCGGACCGCTGTTACACATCTCCCCGCATGCCGCCCATAGAGCCTCTCCTCGTTCTCTTGCGGGTGGCACAGGAGGTGTCGGCAGGTATCCCCATCCCAGGCCTTAGCGCCGCCCTCAAGATAGCCCTAAATATCGCTGAGAAAGCCAAGGTATGTTTATCCATCCCTTGTCTCTGCGAACGCTCGATCACGATTGCCCCTCACTCAGGAGATCAAAGACATCCGCGATGAATGCCGATCACTCGCTGAACGAGCCGCATACTTCTCGTTAGGGGTCTACGACCAAATGAAGCAATGCGGCGGCAGCGACTCCGCACCGTCGATAGCGGCAGGGAAGCGTATCGAGCTACTGCTCTGGTACGCCGATCTTCGTCCCTTTGCGCTGTGCTTCGTCTGACGGCTCGTATCTCTGACTGCGCGATGGCATAGAGAGCCTCATGAAGCGCCGTCGCAAGATACGAGCACTGAGCTTCCTGCGGCGGCATATGGACATCGCTGAGTCTGACGGCTGAGCATACAGCTCGAGGATGCCATCAGACTGTTTGTGGTATGTTTGACGGTCGTGTGTGTCCTGAGCCTGTCATTTCACTGAACACGCCACGACTTCAGATGCAAACCGGGGTTGAGACCGAGCAAAGGTTGAATGCGCTTGCGAGTTACAAGACCCGCCTGCTGCAGCACGTCGAGGACTCCGCACGCGTGGGAGACATACTCATCGGAGAGACAAGAAGCATCCGGACTGGTGTTTTAGATCTTGCGCAGCGCATCAACGGCGGCGCGACGTTTGACGGTAGAGTGAGGTCTAGTCTCCAAAATTACTGCAATCCGTTGCACTAACAACCAGATTGCCAGTTCTGGCTCTTTGCCCAAGAAAACCTTCACCTCGTAGAACCCGTTAGCGACAAAAATCCTCTGGGGACGTTCCCGCGCCAAGCAGATGAACACGACCTTGGCCGTGTGCCTACGAAGCTACAGAGGGGACGTGTCATTCGCTACCGCGCCATTGTGAAGGCGGCCGGCGAGCTTTCCGGCTCACAGGTAATTGTTCATATGTACCCCGATGGCGACAACGGCCGCTTCGTGGAGGCCGTCAAATCGGCGAAGCAAACGTAGTAAGACCACCAGTGTTTTGCTATGCAAGTGAAGACCCCGCTAACGTTCTTCCTAAGTCATCCGTATATCTTAGCGATGCTCGGATATTCCCGTCCGGGAGACCCGGGCGAGGCTTCGTACATCGTCACAGAAGGTACGCCGACGAGTTACGAACATCATGGCGACAGAAATGGACTACTAACGTGCTCGAGCATAGACTATCATCCATTCATAAACTATCTGAGCTCCTTTCATGGAACGAAGAAGCTTCGCGTGTTCATACAGATGGTACGCATATTCGGCACACACTTTCCCTCAAGCAGCTGATGAATCCCTGCCAGACATCGGAGATGTGTGTACGTGTTTCTCAATCCAGACAGAGAAATAGTGAATGCGGAGGATCGATCGTTCTGTCGGCAGATGGCCGTCGACCACCTGGAAATGATGGAATTGCGCCAGCTGCTATGTCCGGTCACTTATTGGGTAAGCCCTACGCGCCCGGGCACATCCCTGCGGCCTACTAACTACTCTACAATCACACTTATTCAGCCTCACGCCCGTGTACAATACACGTTCAAGTTGAGTGAACTTGTGTTTGATCACCGCTATGGAGACCGCTTCAAATGGGCCCGGGATCCTCTCGTACTGGAAGAACTTCGTGGAGTGAGTACCGCCCCTCCTTCACCTGCCTTCACTCTCAGCTTGTCATGGCACAGGTGTCTGTTCCCGCTGTGCAGGCGGAAAGGGTGCGCTTGCGGAACGGTACTACCTCCCCCACTGTCCACTCAAAGCACAATTTCTGATCGTTTGTGCAGATTTTACCCCCATCGCACGTGCAAGCACAGACGTAGTCGTACGCCGTTGGTTTTCTCGAATCCTATCGGGTCTCGCCACCAGTACTCATATGCCAGAGCGCATGAGCTGGCGTCACTGGCAGGGTGCCCTGCATTGTCCTCGGTATGCGCTCGGAGCGTGGGTGGGACGTAACTACCATGATAAACACTGGTCTGTGTTGTCTGCGCAAATCGCTGGGCTCGAGGTCGCTCAAACTTTCGATCGTGTACCGCGTGTGGTTTCCTGGCAAGGTTCGCCGCCGGATGCACCCGCTGAGCCGTCTCGACAATCAGGTGGCGAAGACGAATATTACGTCGCGCAGAAGATGTAAATGTCCAAGCCGCTCGATGGCCCTGACTTGGACCAGAGCGAAATGTGCGTCGATTTCGAGTCGGGCGGCATAAGCAGGACAAGCTGGAAAAGGTGAGAGTTGCTATCGCGTCGAGCGATCACTTCTGAAGCCCTTCGCTCAGATATCAATTCAACTGTGTTTCCTTGGGCACGACCTATCTGTTCCGACAAAGGGTGCACATCTCAGACCGCGGAGACGCCGTCCTGAGACTACTGCGTTCAGCAACAAACCTCCCTGTTGTCGGGTACAACAGCATCGGTATACGTGCGTGTACTTCGTCTCTTTCTCGTTTCCGCTGCTGATACAGGCTGTCCAGCTTCGGAATATGTTTACTATACGGAGACGACCGCCGCGTCCGTTGCGGAGCAAGCGCCCCCACCGCTCTGGTTCTTCAGGCTTCAAGCCGACGACGGCGACCACCGACGGGATGCAGTCTCCGACGGCCACATACCATGCGGCTTCTGGTCCTCAGACAAGCACCCCGCGTCGATTCCGGCGGACATTGACTTTGATCCAACGCTGCGACTTGAGCGCATCGGGCGGGACAACTACTCAGCTCCGGTCTCAACTTGGACGCAGCGAATTGAGGATCTCACCTTCACCATGCAGACAAAGTACGCATCGGTGTCGCTACGAAATGTATCGTCGTGGCGCTGTACTGACACTGCGTATTTGTGGTAGGATGTACATCACCATCGTGGAGCTCAGCGAGGACGAACGCAGCGCCGCTAGGGAACTTCGGGAGAACTCTTGTCTCGGCTCTGCTTGCCGTGAGCCCAACAACGCAGATTGTTCCGCCACCTACGACGATGGCAGCGACGATGGCGCCCATCGTGACGCAGCCAGTCGCTTCGATTTCAGCGACGGCGACAGTGAGCCCGCTGCGGTTCCCTCCATATCTGCGGGTTCGGAGCCCCAGGACGTGTCGAACTCAGAGTACGATGATGCGGAAGAATATTACAGCGCAGAAGAGGACGGGGAGACAGGCTTCGGAGAGGGTTTTCGGACTTGGTGTCATAATATTGGCATGTCAAGTAGGTGCGCTCGGCCACCGCCTCACGTTCTCTCTCTCGGCTTATATTCCATAGTTACGGGGGTGACAGATCATTGCCCATCGCGGGCAAATCCCTCGCCGTATGATCCTCGAGCTCTCTAGTATCCGAGACCAACCCTCGGCTCGCTTCCGCTAGCGTAACTTTGGCGTGAATCTAGATGGATGCATAGCCCGACCCGCGTAGACTACGTCTCCCTCGCGCTCTGCCATCCTAGTGCATGCAAATGTGAGCGGAACGACTTCGCAGGGGTGGCAAATGAGTGAGAGGCGGGCTGCGCAAGGCAGTACTGACATTTTCATAGAACTTAATCAGGTTCTCGGTCGTCTGCTACTAGCGCCACTCACTCGCCTAGCATAGGGTCGCGTCCTGGCTCTCGTGTTTCTCTCCCCCTCATTACTGACCTCAAATGCAAATCATAGACTCCGTCATCACTACGCTGCAGATAGCGAAGCTCGCAACTGCCGACATTCATGTTCCGGGGCTTAACACCGCTCTCGAAAGCGCGCTTAGTATCGCGAAGAAAGCCAGAGTAAGTACGCTTGGTCGGCATCTCGGATGGTGTCGGTAGTAACAGTTTGTTTGTACAGGATATCCGGGACACTCGGGATGACTGTCGAGCTCTTTCCGAGCGCGCTGTACACTTCACGCTAGCGGTATGTGAGCAACTGAAGGGCAGCCTGGGCGGCTGCGACACCGAAACAAAGGAGCACGTCACAACGTTGTTACAGTTAGTATTACTATCGATACACTGCTGGTACTCTTCTCAAATCTCGCTCTGACTTTGCCTTATACCAGAAACTTACAGGACATTGAGAACCTTATGGATCGCCGCCTCCGAGCCGGAAAGCGAGAGCGAATTCTGTTCGCCTTCAAGCATGGAAAGATCGCGAAAGAGGTCAAGAATCTGACCGCGAAACTCGAGGATTCTTATCGTATTTTCATGGTATAGACCGAACGACCCCTTCCCTAATTAAGCCCACTGATGTCATAACTACTGTTAGATCCAAGCCGCGGTCGTCATTGATCAGAACATGAACACGCTGACCAGCGGTAACATCCGTATAATGCAGCACATCGACGACTCAGCACGTGCCGGAGATGTTGTTCTGGGAGAGACCAGAGTCATCCGCACCGACATCTCGGACCTCGCGCATCGTGTAAGGGGAAGCGCGATGTTCGACGGAAACGTAAGGACGAAATTTCATATATCGCCTCGGTATCATTCTAACAAGCAGTGGTATTAGTTTCGCGTCTTTTCCCGCGAAAACCTCGCGTTACTGGAGCCCATCGACGACTCGCACAAGTCTTGGCACGCCACCAATACGCAGCACGAAGACGAACATACCCTCGTCCGGGCGGTCGCTCAGCCTCGGACCGGGCGCGTCTTCCGCTACCGTGCCGTTGTGCAGGTCGCGGGTAACCTGACTGGAACCCGGGTAGTAGTATGCGCGTATTCCAATCGCGACATGCAGCGGTTTGTAAAATCCGTCGAATTTGCCAAGCAAACCTGGTACGCTACGATCGCTTTACCTGGGGTTGTCCGTCTCTCACCCTCATACCCACAGCCACCCTCACATTTTGGCCATGATAGGATATTCCCGTCCGGGAAGTTCAGGAGAGGCGGCGTACATCGTGACGGAAGGTGCGTAGATATACAGCGCATAATTAATGTGATTCGCCTGCATGGCTGAAGTATCTGGCGATAGATTATCTTCCGTTTGTAGAATATCTGGACTGCTTGCACGGAGCCAACAAGTTACGAGCGTTGCTGCGCATGGTGAGTAACTTCGATATCCCTGATATCTTTGTGACGCTGATAAGTTCTGTGCAGAGCGCGGCAATTTGTGTACGTACATCTTGACTGATTGGCTGATCTAGTGGACACATTTAAGTACTGAACACGTTGTGGATAGATGGCCGTTGAACACCTAGAAATAATCGAACTACGCCGAATGCTCCCTGAGTATAGATTTTGGGTACGACGGACTCGCTACTACATTCATTTGGTCTGCTGATTCACCCTCCTCTCCCGTGCTCATTCAGGGATCTACCACATTCCATACTTTTGGTTTAGCTGAACTCGTGTTCGATCACCGCCATGGCGGGCGTATCAAATGGGATGGGGATTCTCTAACACCCGAGGAGATGGCTCGGGATCCTCGCAAGGTGAGCGTCGCCACCCCCAATGTCATGTTCTCGTTCTGAGCATGTCTATACACAGGAAATAGACGTTCCAACTGCCCAGGAAAGCAGAATGCGCCTAGTAGAAGGTACTATAAATCGACCATAACTTGGACTCAAGCGCGATTATTGACTAATCCCGCTTCAGATATTTGTGCCATTGCCTGCGGGTGCCTCGACAGCATGGTACAGTGTTGGCTATCGCAGATTCTCAGCTCTGTGGCACTGTACTACTATTTCTTCGTCCCGGACCGTCTGTGGTGGCGATCTTGGGAAAGGGTCCTTGATCGCCCACGGTTTCCCCTCGGTGTGTGGCTGGGAGGCATCTCCCGCCATGAAGGTTGGACGGTTTTGCATGCTACACAAAACACCGGGTTCGAGCTCGCTACCACAGTAGAGATGCTGCCGCTTGTACTTCCCAGTCCCAATCAAAGTGAGTCTATTCCAGATACGCAGGCTATCTAACGACCTCCAGTCAGCTTACGAGAGCAGACAGCTGTGATTTTGACCAGAGGTTTAGCAGGGCTGACTGGTTCAATGTCCCGACATCGGACAATGGCGAGATGTGCGTCGATATCGATTCGAACCTGGGCGGGGTCCAGACAAGGTGGAAGAGGTGAGTATCGTGCTACTCTGAGCTACTCATTCGCATCCTGATCGTAATCTTCTGAATTTGCCCCTCAGATACCAGTTCACCCGCATTTCCGTGAACACGACACTTCTCTTTCTGCAAAGTGTACACGCCTTGGACGGGCCTGACGCTGCCTCGTGGATGATGCGTTCGCTACCTGATTCCAACGCAATAGGTTCCACGCGCATTGGCATAGGTGCGCCCACATCATCATCTGTTTGTCTGATGCAGAAACTAATAGGGACGTCTAGCCATAGAGCGAAGATATTTCACTGAGACCGTCGTGATGGCTAGCGCAAACGCCGTTGAGCAAGAAGCCCTGCCGCTCTGGTTCTTCCTGCCAGAATTCGGCGGCAGCGACGGCTATACTCACCAATGCGCCATCTCATGCGGCTTCTGGTCTCTGGAGAAGTACCCCGCCTCCGTGCCTGAAGATATCCTTTTCGATTCCACGTCGCAATTCGAGTCCGTTGGGGAAAACCTCAAAGCCCCACTGTTCACTTCGACGCAAGTCCTGGGAGCCTTCGTGTTTACGACACGAACAAAGTACGTATCGGCGTTAGTATGGGAATTATCTGCTGGGTGGCGTACTAAACCTGCGTCTTGCGGTAGAATGTCGACCGAGATCATAGAGCTCACCGGGGACGAGCTGTTAGCGTTCCAAGAGCTGCAAGAGAACCATCACTCGGCAAACGATGCCAATTTCGCTAGCCACTCGAACGACTTCGCAACACACGGCAATAGCGACGAGAATACTAGTACTACTGGGGACTTCAACACTGCCGCAGTCTCCCTCGAGTCAGGCGACAACAGCAATGCCCACACCTCGATAGCATGCTCCAAGTCTACTGATGAGTCGGATTATCAAGACACGACGGAAACAGAGTCCAGCGGGACGGATGCATATCACAGCGCAGAGGAGTACGAAGTGACGGGATGGGGAGAGGGCTCGTCTTAACATCGAAGAGGTACAATCACGGGTTCGTCTTAGCACCCGTGTCTGATCTTCATGCTCATCACGAACTATCATCACTCATCTCATAGTATCAAGTTCGACTTTATTGTGCATTCCTTTCCGGTCGTCTCAACTGACTCGCTTGTTCCTCGCGATGCAACTCCGCTCGGACACCCACGTAGTGCCTCCGTCATCATTAGCCACGAATATGTTTCGCATTTACTGTGAATAATCTTTGTGTGTATCTTCGATAAGACATGTTCGAGGTTCGAGGACGGCGTGCACGACCTCGTGTTCCAAGTACTTTAGTAGCGGCACATCCAGAGAGTATCCGCAACCGCGAAGTCCTCGCGCATACGTCAGCAATGGCTGGACAGCCCGTTATGAGGTCCCGCATAGGTATGCGTAGTATGCGACGAGTGGGATATGGACTATATCGGATGCAGAGTGCGGAACCCCGACAATGACATGATGCCCAATATCCCTGAGCAGAATCGCCCTCGTTGTACAGACATCGTCGTCCGTGCTCTCGTGCGGTACAACTAATTCAGAGCAGAAATGTCCTCTACGCGTACGGGCGGTGACGCGCTAAGCACAGTAAAGATGCGAAATTGACATACCTCGCGGCCGTACGCGGCGTACATGGACCGTGCCACGTCGTTCTAAGCTTTGTAGGGACACACGGGAGGATTGCGGATGCGGGCGCACATGATATTGCAGTGCAGAGCTGGCCGCCGACGCAGGCTTCTGGGTCGTGTATACGGCGGGCGCTACGCGAGGGAAAACCGTCCAACGCCCGGGCAGGATCACGAGCGAGCGCGAACTCGCTGGACAGTGGAGAAAGGTGCTGATGTTACGCGTACACGGCGGGCTCAGTTCGCGCCCGACCCGTGCTGCGCTACATCGCGTTGTATACTGGTGTCGAGTCGTATAGTATTGAGTCCGTGCTTCAGTGCGATCTTGGATAGCCGCGTTGGTGGTGTTCAAGAGAGACAGGCGACTAGCGTTCGTTCCTATGTCCGCCTCTCGGGGTGTCCCGTAAATCTTGGGTTGGCGTGGACGTACTTCGGTCCGAACTGCGGTCATGAGCGCGAGAAGCGTGCACACCAGGGTGGAGTAGAAGTCTGCCCAGAAAAGTAGACGAAGGAAATCTACCCTGTGAGCGAACTCGGAAATGAGTCCATAGTCCTCGCTGTCTCCGCACTCACACTTACTACGAGCGTACCTCTATTTTTTGCAGTGCATGGTGTATGCATGCATGGATCGTTTCTTGCCTTGGACGACGTTGCTGACTTGTGATGTGTTCGGTGAGCCTTACCATGCAGTCTGGGATGCAGAGAATATACTTACTCTGCGAGACACGGTGATAGACTACCGCTATTCACGGCGACGATGCTTCCACGCCCGATGCCCGATCTCGTACTGGTACTGCTCACGACGGTGTTCTCGGTCGCGTTCTAGTCTCTGCCCAAGCAACATCTGAGTCTGACATCTGGCACCGCTCAGCGTGGCGTCGAGGGAGAGCATCGGTATGTTCTCGGGCCGTGGGCGTACCAAGCTTGCGGGGACAGGGGAACATTGTATCGCTCAGGACGTGCGCCACACGCTCGTAAGCGCGGAGTCGGGGTCAGAGGAACACGGCGCACCTGTGACGCCTCCCGAGACTGCGCGGAGTGCCATTCTGGGCGTACATCATGCTGGATCTCTCGCAGGACGGCCCCATGGCACAGGCATCGAATCTTGCCATACGCGCGCAAAAGATGCAGAAGGCGTTTCCAGGCGTCGAGTAGTCACGAGAGCGCGGGCATCGACACGGGGAGTCCCGCGTCGCGCATGTTGCCATATCTGAACGTAGAAGCCGCGAGGTGTCAGCGAGCTGTCTATCTAGCAACAGCATGCTGAGGCAGACAAGATCTACGCCCCGCGATTCGTATATGCATATCGTGTCATTCGCCAGATCGCGAAGGCCATGACGGAATATGGATATTGATGGCATGTTTAGCAGCCTAGCAGCCGTCCGGCCTGGCTCGGTGCGTACTTGCCCATGGTTATCGTACGGCGCAGGCGTAGGTTCAGCTAAGGAAGACATACTTACAGAGGCGATACATGACGCTCAAAGCGGCTAAAAGACTACGTACGTTCGTGGAGGTCATTTTCTGTGATCAAATGGCGTTGCAAATGTAGATAGTGATCGTATTTGGGGATATGGACGGCCTAGAAACGCACCCATATGTATAACACTGAGTCTTGCACAGCAGAGAAGCGCTTGTATCTGCCGACGAGTTGAAACTGCGTGAAAATAGACGGTGTTCCGTACGGTGGACATACCTAGCATTTTCGCGAGCAGCATATCGTCATCGGACGAGGTCGACCACCGTCCTCTAGACGTGCATAAAAGCCGGACGTGCAGACGTTCAAGTTGACGACGATCTGCAGATGATAGCCCTGCTGTGGACTGCGGGAGAGACGTCGTCGGATTCAAGCACTGATGAGGGTCGTGTATACACGAGATGAAGAGCAAGAAAACCTTTCGATGGGCATTGCGAATGATGCTTGTGCTGGACGGGGTTGATGACGCACCGGAAACGAGAATACACGACCTGTAGCTGATCAGGAGAGTCATGGGGGAGTCAAAGAAGACATATCGAGAGGCCCGACAGAGGATGAGAGACTTCTGCGAGACCGTGCACGTGTTGCCGTATGGTACAGGGCGAGTACTACAGAGAGGGTGCAGGTCGAGTTGTGCGGCGAGCAGAGGACAGCGAGAGACGCGAGTCAGCGAACGGGAGAGCACCAAGAGAGCGACAAATGACTCCATGCCACGCACAAAAAACAGATCCTGTGAGGTACCGGCAGCGCGAAAGACAGAAGAGTGGGCGCTGGCAGAGAAAAGACGGGCAGGAGGAGGAGCGGGTGTAGATCGCGACGGAGAGGGACTCGGTCCGCCTCGAGCGGATGCGTGGCTTTGTTTGGTCCATAAACAACCGGTCGGGTGCCGGGCGCCTATGCGACATTTCCGCCTTGCCTGGGGCCCTCCTCATATGCATCTCCTCCGCTAACGAAACTGGTTACTAAGAAAAACACAAAAAGCCTCTGGCGCAAGAAAGAGCACCGGAAGCCGCTATATTATGTCTCTATAAGGCCGCGCTGTGCACGCTTGCGCTGGACCCGTTGAACGCCCATACGCACCCGGAAATATTATGTAGGGCGCTCTGCGAATTCTTCCGGGTAGTACGCCCTGCGAATTCCGCTCCCTAGCGCAACTCCGTGGAGGAAAAGACCAGGGTGCGTTTCCATCTGTGATGCATTGTGCGACTGTGATATCGCGCTGCAATTAGCTGTCGCCGACCTGGATATAGCTCTCGAGCCTGGACGTATATAAGAAGTATGCGTTCACCGCACATGGGCACTGCTAGGCTGTGTTCATGAAGTAGATCATAACGTGCTTGACAGGTACTGCGAGAGTTCCCCGCCCGGTGCCGCATACTGTATGGGCAGTTTCCATACTGATGCAAGGATCTAAAGGTTTTTCACCACCGTGGACTGCCTTCTGCGCAAACGGGGGGCTCGGATTGGCTAACAGAAAAAGTACTAGGATCTGAATGGCGCTGTTGACACTTGAGCGTCTTCAGTACCTGCAAGGGCCCTGCCATATCCTGTATTCTCGTACAGCCACTGGGAACACGAAGCAACGTCTCCGAAACCCTAATACGCCCTACATAGCCTCTGCACCCCGGCACGTCGTCAGCGACCTCTTGTCCTCGTCCTCTCGCCTGCAGACTTACCACCACCGGGATCACCTAGAGCCCCCTCTCGCACCCATTCGAAGTCCCCGAGTCGTTCGTCCGACGTCATGAAGTTCCTTGATGTATCGATCACGGCGCTAGAGTTAGCAAAGCCTGTAACGGCCGAAATCCCCATCCCCGGGCTCAACACCGCCGTCGAATGTGCCCTCAGTATCGCGAAGAAAGCCAAAGTAAGTATAAGTCGTCTACGCGCATGGTCATTCTTTGGTAACCTGCAGTGCGCTGCGCTTAGGAGATCAAAGACACTCGAGATGAATGCCGAGCCCTCGCCGAACGTGCGGCAACATCTGTGCTGGCAATATACCAGCAGCTCAAGAACGGCGGTGGCGGAGTGGAGGCGGAAGAGCATGTCACGACATTTCTGCAGTGCGTATTAGCATTCGACCCCTCTACGTCGGTTTGAACTGACTCGATCCGACACAAGAAACTTGCTGGACATCGAGAGCTTGATGGCTCGCCGTCTGCGAGCCGGAAAGCGAGATCGCATCTTGCTTGTGCTCAATTGCGGGACGATCTCCAAGGAGGTCAAGACGCTCACCACAAAGCTCGAAGACTCCCATCGCAATTTCATGGTACAGACCGAGCGGCTCCCGTCGCGCTTAATCCCACTGATGGCACGATTGTCACTAGATTCAGGCTGCGCTCTCCATCCAGGACACGCTGGCAAGCGGGAACCTCCGTATGCTACAGTACATCGACGACTCAGCACGCGTCGGAGGGATTGTCGTTCGAGACACCAGAGAGATCCGCGATGGCATCACGCACCTCACGCAGCACGTCAGTGGGAGCGCCACGTTCGATGGAAATGTGAGTATTTGAATCTGCTTACCGCTTCCTGGAGTGTGCCCTCATAACGATCAACGTCGTAGTTCCGGCTCTTTGCTCATGAGAATCTGGCCTACTTAGAGCCCATCGTCGACTCGGGAAAGCTGCATCATAGCATGACTGGGCAGAACGGAGACGAATGTATCCTTGTCAAGGCGGTCGCTCGCTCGCAAACCGGCCGCGTCTTCCGCTACCGCGCCGTCGTGGAAGCTGCGGGCGACCTGACCAGAACACAGGTGGTGGTATACGAATATCCTGATCGCAACAATCAGCAGTTTGTGCAGGCAGTGAACCTTGCGAAGCAAACCCGCCGGTACGTCCAGATCGCTCTACCTGGGGACGTGCATCTCACCGCCATACAACAGCCATCCTAATTTGCTGGCTATGCTAGGATACTCGCGTCCAGGAGATCCAGACCAGGCTGCTTACATTGTGATGGAAGGTACGGCAACATATCACTCACAACAGTCAATATTCAATCCCTGTCTCCGCAGCTGATCTATTCTTCGATAGACTATGTTCCTTTTGTGGAGCATTTGAACTCATTGCGTGGAACCAGGAAGTTACGAGTGCTCCTGCAAATGGCACGTGGTCTCGATGTCCCTGATACTGCTACGAAGCTGACGAGATCAATAAAGGAGGCAGCGATTTGTGTACGTATACCTCAACTCAACCACTGATACAGTGGATGTGGTCGAGTTCTGAATGTATCGGAGGCAGATGGCCATCAACCATGTTGAAACTCAGGTGGAACTGCGTCGACTGTTGCCCGTGTATTCATATTGGGTACGATGAACCTGCCACAGAACCACCAGGTCTACTGACTTACTGCCCATATGCGTTGTCCATGCAGGATGCAAGTGTACAACTTCGTGCTATCAGATCAGACGAGGTTGTAGTTGACCACCGCCATGGAGGCCATATCAAATGGGCTCAGCCTCGGGATCCCCTCGCACTCGAGATGACAGACAATTGTCAGGTAAGAATCATTACCCTCATCATGCGCCCACTCTCACTATACCTTCATACAGAAAATAGATCTCCCGGCTGCGCAAAAAGATAGGATGTGCATGATAGAAGGTACGGCATGCAAACCATTCCCTGGAAGTATGATTACTGACTACCGTGTCAGATCTTCGTGCCATTGCATGTGCACACGTGGACACTGTGGTGCAGCATTGGTTCTCATCCATCCTGAGCCCCTCTGGAGAATATGTGTCAGACCTCCTCCCAGGTCGCTCATGGTGGCAGATTTGGGAGCATATTGCTGACTATTCACAGTATCCACTCGGAGTGTGGCTGGGACGCAACAGCTTTGACGAAGATTGGACCTGTCTATCTGCACAAGATCCCGGGTTCGAGGTCGCTGTAACAATGCGGGGTGTACCAAAGGTACTTCCCAGTCCCAGGCAAGGTGAGTCGCCCCGAAGTACTCCAATTGAGCAGTCTCGCCAGTCAGCTCACGAGGGTAAGAAGGCCATGATTTTTTCCAGAGGTTGAGGATCGATGAACGGCTCGATATCCCGGAATCGGACCTTGACGAGCGGTGCATCGAATTCGAGCTAGGCACGGGCGAGGGCCGAACAAGATGGCAGAGGTGAGAGCAATATCCGAGCTGCTCACACCTCGATCTAGTTCATCTGAATCAACCACTCAGATACCAATATTCCTGCATTCCCGTGAACACGACACTCCTGTTTCAGCAACCTGTATGCGCGCTGGACGGACTTGATGCTGCCTCGAGGATGATGCGTACACTACCAGATCTATCTGTCCTTCAAGGACAATACGCGTGCATCAGTATAGGTGCGTCCGTTCTGCCTGTCTGTTTTTTGGTCGCTGATATGGATGTCTAGTCCGGTACCGAGTATATTTCACTGAGACGACCATCACGAAGAGCGTGCATGCCACTGAGCAGGTAGTCCCACCGCTTTGGTTCTTCGTGTTGCAATTCGACGGCAACAAAGGTTCCGCTCACGACTGCAATATTCCAACCGGATTCTGGTCGTCGGAGAAGTATCCCACCTCCGTGCCGGCGGGTATCATCTTCGATTCGACACCGCAGTTTGAGGCCATCAGTAAACATGAGCAAGCTCCACTGTTCACTTTGACGCAAGTGCTTGGAGACTTCGCATTCACCACACGCACAAAGTACGCACCGGTGCCCATTTGGGGCTTGTATCTCGGGTATCATACTAATACGGCACACTCCGGTAGGAGGATGACCGAGATTATAGCGCTCGGTGAAGATGAGCTCTTTGTATTCAGAGAGTTCCAAGAGAGCCATTATTCGACTACCGACACCAATGCTAGCGACTCGGACGACTCCGGCGGAGATGGTGTCGCCATGGACGACAGCATTTCTAAAGAAGGTAGCGCCGGAATCTCCGACGCCGAATCCCTCGCATCAAGCTCCAGCAACGAAGATCACGTCCTCGGGGTGAACTACAAGTCTCCGGAGTCGGACTATGAGGACGCGACGGACGCGGGAGACGATAGCACGGAAGAATATTACAGTGCAGAAGAGGACGAAGCCACAAGACTCGCATGCGGCGAGTGTCCATGTTGACGTCGCAGAAGTATGTTCTGATTCTTCCCCCGTTGCGGCTGCTCGTACTCATCCTGTTTGGCCCGCAGCCGGTCTGTCCATGTATCTCATGCTCGAGGATTCCACTCAACGAACTCCCACCCTTGTCCATTCCATCCTCGACTCGCCTTGCGCCCTCACTTCGTTTCCACAATGTAACCTCACTCGAACACTCGGTATCACCCTCGTTTTCATGGATAGCATTCCTCGAACCTTCCGCAAATATTATATATATGATTTCTTCGCGGTGCGCTGATAGAAAGGACTGATGTTCGAAGGCAAACCCACAGCCTAGACATGAGTAACCCTCTCGGGCTCCTCCGGTGGTCGAAGGCGCCATCGACCCGCCGGCGGCGCCACTCATCGCACAACCTCATTCGCATACGCATCCTCGAATCAAGTCGTAGCGACTGCTGAACGTACGGCTGCACCAGGTTGCGGCGCGAGTTTTCACTGTGATGATAGTAACAACACTCCCGAGCGGATCGTGTTCCCCTCCCAATAACTCCGTCATCAAAGCATGTTAGTGAGCCAGGTCGCCGTGTCACAGCCATCTCCCAGGTACCATGGAGTAGAACGGCAAACATGGAGAGTAACATTCTCGAGCGTGGTCGCGGACGCCGCGCAAAGTCCGCCTTGGACGAGGATACGGCAGTAAGATTGCTCAGGGCACGATACAGGCTATAGCACCAGAAAATGTCTACATCATCATGCGTCGAGTTGGCGGCGGGGGAACACACGCCTCTGTTTGGATGTATGTACATGCAGCCAGCGAGCGAAGCGACATGCGAGTAGGGCTGTGTGGACACACACTGCGCGCCCGCTCTGAGCGTCCAAACACTCGTCCTCTTGTCTCCTTGGCAGACCGGCAAGCAACAAGGAGTGCCGCGCGCGGACATCCGCGCTGGCAATCCGGTTACGATGTCGAGATGGAACGCGTAGTGCCGCCGATGCAGACTCCCGAGTACAAGATGGACAACGCCTGCGCGGGAGCACGATCGGGTAGGCAACGAGAGCGGAAGGCTCATTAGAGCGAGGTTCTTCGGACGCGACACGCAGTCGACGGACTCCGAGCGCGCCCGATCCGTGTTGCACTGCGATTCGTAGCATAGCTTGCGTCGAGCCGTACTATTCGGATTGGGGTGCTGCCTTGCGACCTTGAACTGTCGGGTCGGCGGCGGCGGAGGACAGGCTATCGACGCGGTGACCTGTCCAACCGTATTGCACTGGAAACCTCCGCGCGTTTGTTCCCAGCGCTGCCTGTCAGGTTGTGCTCTGGCGTGGCCTGTGCACGTAGACATGCCGCGGCCGGGCGATGTTCAGGTATACAAGTATACGAGAGGCGATCGTCCCGAGGTGGAGTGGAGCCCTAGTAGAAGAAGCAAATCAGCGCTGCACTGAGAGCGAAATCGGGGGGAACGACCGATAGTGCTCACAGTGTTCGATCATTCGATGCATGAACGCACTGCTCGCGCGTGTAGACGACGACGACGCTAACTTCCGGTATCTCCGCTACGTACTGTGTATCCTTACATGACAATATATGGTCGTAGAACGGCGCTGCCGGCTCACAACGACGGGAAACTTTGAGTGGACAGCCGTGCGCTCGAAAGCGCCCGAATCCGACGCTGTCTTTCTAGC